GTCTCCTGGAAATCTTTCCCTAATGCACTCAGGGATGCCCGAGGGGCAAGCCTACCTGGCAGTTGGGATAAAGGGAGAGTTGAGAATCCAAGTTCGAGTTCACAAGAATACTCTGCTCCTTTTGAGCTCCGTATCTGGCTCTTACCACTCTCCCATGCCATGAATCAGGACTCTCTGGGAGACCACGGCTAAACCTGAAGACCTCCCAAGTTACTCTAAGTTGGTTCCCGATCTTCTCTCACAGTGGCCACCCTCTGTCACAACCACCTGAGGTTGAGGTCTCATCCACACACTCTGCAGAGGTTCAGCCCCTGCCCTGCCTGACAACTCAGGGACCAGGTGATATTCCAGCATCCTCACCTGTCACTGGCAAGATTTGGGTGGCTAGAGGAGAAGGCATAAGTACATGTTCTCTGCTTCCCTTACCCGTTGGGCCAGAACTTGTAGGAGGGAGAAATATTCCAAGTCAAAGGCAAGAAATTAAAACAAACAAACAAACAAACAAAAAACCCCGATGTTCAACGCAATCTATAAACTGTCAGACAGAAAAGATTACAGATGCAATTTTTGTCCTGCCCCTTCCTTTCTTCCGCTTGCTTCCGGGAATGGTCTAGGAAGGGCTTGTCTGCCTGTCACCAGGGGCCACTGGCTGCCCCTCATTGGCCAACTGTGTAGGGCACCAGGCCAAGCAATGGGGCTGGCTCCTGAAATCTTTGTCCAGAGGGACCAGTGCAAGGCTTTTACCCGTCGGGTACAGCGAGACTCGTGAGAGCATCGCGTGCCCCCCACCCCCACCTCTTGGGCTTCTGTGGTTTGACTGGGTCACACATAGCTTGGTTGCATGCAGCAACGCCCAGCAGGCGCAGGCGTAGAACCACCTCCGGGGCCTCGCCAGGGAGCGGCTGGGCTGGAGTGCCTCGACCCTCCCTGCACTTGGCTCTCAGCTTCTCTGGACGTTTCCTGGGACCACCCAGCAACCCCAACATCAGTGGCTCTGAGTTTGTTTTTTTAGGAGGATTAGTCTCCGAGTAAACGCTTAGGCCTTCTGCTGGCCCTTCCAAAAAAAGAAAAAAAAAATCCCGTTTCTGTATAAAGTGAAAATTAGACTATTAAATCTGCAGAGAAAGCTGTTTATCTTACAAATGTATTCTTTTTATTGGGCCACACATATCTGAGATAGAGAGATAAAAGGAAGGCAGACACAGACCATCACTTCGACTGACAAGCAGTCAGGCCAAGCTTGTCTTGAGCTTCTGCAAGAAGTTCAAGAGAATTGCATCGTCTTGCATCTGAGTTTATCTAGAATGTTCTCTGGGCCCAGAGCCCTGGTAGATACATAAGCCTTCTCATCCTTCTCTCTAGCCTGCCCCTTCACCCCTTTTTAGCAGCTGCCACTTGGCTGCTGCTCCCAGCTGGGCTTAGCCAGGGAGCTTTGGGGAGGAAAGGGCAGATCACAGAGCAGGGGAACCTGCAGGAAGTGAACTTCAGAAGTCTTGGACCTGCCTACCTCTGTCATGAAGCCAGAATCAGGACACTTAAGAAGTTGTGTTTATCATGCAGATTGACAGCTATGGGCCAGCTTAGTGAAACTACCTGCTTAAATATATTGCAAGGAACACTCAGACAGAATTTCAATCAGCCACATCACTGTTTCCAGCTGACCCCAGTGAAGCCAGAAAGAGGAAAGCGAGGCAATGCCACTGATAGGGGAAATGCAAGGTTTGGGTGTTGGAATGAGGTGTGGGGCTGGGGTGGGACCTGGCTGTTTAAGCCTGTTGTGGTTGACTTGGTACTAGTTTCCGCTCCGTCTGGCAGCAGTCCCAGGTCCCCTGGAGGGACAATACTTTTTTTCTGCCTATTTTCTCTTACCAAGAAGCCCTCCTGGAGGTCAAGGTTGTGAGACTGGGGGAGTCTGCAAAGTCAGCATACCAGATGAGTATCCATGTGTGTCCTGGATGTTGCATTTCCAATCCAGCTTCCAGCTAATGTACCTGGGAAAGCAGTGCAAGATGGCCCCTGCATCCAGCTAGGACACGTAGCTGAAGCTCCCAGCAAATGGCTTTGGCCTGGTCAGTCCTGACTGCTGCTGTGGCCATTTGGGGGTGTGAACCAGCAGATGAAAGATCTCTCTCTTTGTGTCTGTCTTTCTCTGTAACTCTGCCTAAAAATAAAGAGAAGCCATCCTCACAGCTCCCACGTTCATCTGGATGTTGAATCTTGTGCCTGGAGGGTCAGACTGTGCATGGAGAAAGGCCTACTTCTCTTTGTACACGATTCTAAGATGAAGATCTGGCTCATTTTGTCCCATGGACATAAAGGCGCTGCCAAAAGTTATTTGGAGATTTAACCCACCACCCGGGATGCCGGCATACCATAGCAGAGCTCCTGTTCCAGTCCTGGCTTCCCTCCTTCCCAAGAAGCTCCCTGCCGATGTGACTGGGAGGAAAGCAGTAGATGTTCCACGTCCTTGGGTCCTTGGGTCCCTGTCACCAAGTGAGAGACTCTGATGAAAATCCAGGTTCCTGGCTTCAACCTGACCCCAGCCATTGCAGGCATCTGGGGAGTAGACCAGCCAATGAAAGAGTCTCTCTCTCTTTCTCTCTCTCTCTCTCAGTCAGCCCCTGCCTTCCTTACTCCCTTTTTGTCACTTTGCCTTTTAAATCAATAAAACAATTATTTTTAAAAAGTGAATAGAAGTGAAATTAAAAGGTGAAGTTTATTTGGGTGTAATGCCTTTTAAAATCCATGCGTAGGAGGGAATCTCCAAATAGCTTCTGAGAAATGTGTTTTACAAAGAACAAAGTCTGAATGGTTTTCAAACTCTTCACATCCAAAGAAATTTGTGGTTTATTGCTATTTGTGAAGATTTTCTTTATTTATTCAAGAGATAGGAATAGAGAGGCTAGGAGCTTCATCCATTGGCTCATTTCCTAAATTCCCACAGTGACTGGGGCTCAGGCAGAGCCAACCTGGGTGATGGGAACGTAATACAGGCCTTGCCTGTGAGCTCAAGAGCCCAATTACTCAAGCTGTCACTGCTGCCTCCTAGCTCTGCGTGAGCAGGAAGCTGAAGACAGAGGCAGGAGCTGGGCCAGGCACTCGGATGTGCTATGCGGGTGTCTTGACCCGCGCCGTAACCTCTAGGCTAAACCCCTGCCTCTAACTTTATCTTTTACATCCATTTCTTGGGGGTCGGCATGGTGGTAGGACAAACTAGGCTCCTCCTGAAGCACCAGCATCTCATGTGGCCATCAGTTCAAGACCTGGCTGCTCCACTTCCAATCCAACTGCCTGTCAGCGCACTGGGAGAAAAACAGAAGAAGGTGGCCCAACTCCTTTGTGGGAGACTTAGAAGAAGCTCCTGGCTCCTGGCTTTGGTCCGATGTAACTCTAGCCTTTTGTGGCCATTTGGGGAGTGAATCAGCAGGTGGAAGACCTCTCTCTTTGACTCTCTCCCTCTATAACGCTGCTTTTCAAATAAAAATAAAGAAATCTTTTTTTAAAAAAAAATCCATTTCCCCAAATTGAACTGGAGCTTCTTAGTAGCTCTTCCAGCAGTGGATGGAAGGGGTGGGAACAGGCTTCACAGTGATCCTTCCTGGGACACTTCCAGGCTGCTGATCTGGGCCCTGTCTGCATGCAGAGGGTGCTGTGCAAGCCAGAGGGCCTCCATGTTGCTGGGTGCAGACTCCCAGGTAGAATCACTTCATGAATCACAGCATGAGCTGTCCCTCACCTCTGGCCTGGCCTGTCAGTCTGTCCCTTTTGGGTGTGAGTAGAGAAATGAACATCTTCCTTTGCTTGGAAGGTTCCGGTTGAAGGCATTCTCCGCACAACTCACAGATCTGCTCATTTTCCCCAGAAGGTTCTCTTGTGCTCAGAGAGGGATTTCTCATGAGGGTTGGCAGCCACGGCGAGGACCCTGTTAGGCTTGGGATCCTGGAGTTCCTGCTGAGCCATCAGCTGCCAGCTCTGAGGGGGCAGAAAAATGAGACCGAAGAAGGCTCTTGCCTCCCTCCTGTGAGACGCAAGCCTCATCCCTTGTCCTGCCCCCTGATGCCATCTCTCCAGTGCTGTGATGTCAAGGCCTGGGGTACTGTGATAACGTATCCTCCAAGCACAAGATATTTTCCCAGTTTTATTTACTATTATGTCCCACCATTTCTGTGCAGAAGGCAACCGTATGTAAATTTTATTCCACTTTCTAATGGTTTGGGTTACACAACAAATAACAGCAAGAAGGAAAATTTGTATTGATACTTTACATGAGGAAGGTCTCAAGTCGCTGCACGGAGATTTAGATGCCGTGCTCTGACTTTATGGGAGTTTTGCAGCTGAGTTTCTGCACATGACTTTGAATTTGTCACTATGTGTTTATCATGGGCTAATTGTGGAACCACATTTCCATACTTTTTCTTCTCCCTTTCATGAGCTTATGCCAGCCAGCGATGGATACGAGACTCTACCAGGGAGAAATGATCAGTTTGGGATAATTTTCTTTCCTGTCCCAAAATAGCTGTGTGTCTGCGTGTCGTGGGGAGTCAGACGAGAGACCGTCTTTATCCATTTGTTGCGTGATTTGCTGTGAATCCGATTTGGGGACCACAATGAATTCTCCAGCTAGCCTGGTCGTTGAAACTTACCAGATTCCAAAAACACCAACATTTTGAAACTTTTGGAAAAAAAAATTATTTAATAAGAACTTAGCAAAAAAAGAGAGAAGAAATCAAGCCAGCTGCTGACACAGCTGTTTCTCTTCTTGCTTAATTCCGTTCGATATAAAGGTACCATATGCTGCTTAAGATGATGATAGAGAAGATGAAATAATTTAAGAGAATAACGAGAAAATACATGAATTGTCAGCATTCTGTCAGCGTGAAAGAACGGAGCAGGCAGGTGTGATATTGACATGTTTAACTTTGTGTGGTGGTAGCAGTTTGGGTGCGAACGACTCCTGACATGTGCTGAAGTCATGTGCGAACATTTCTCCTCCACTGCAGACATGGGTGAGGAGCCTGGGAGATCCACCAGCGTCCAGCAGCCGGCACTGCTGCGCGACAGGAGCCTGGGCTCGGCCATGAAGGACTGCCCGTACTGCGGGAAAACCTTCCGAACGTCCCACCACCTTAAGGTCCACCTGAGGATACACACAGGTGAGAGTCCGGCTGCTTCCCCGGGACACAGCTCGGAGCAGGAGGAGGAAGGAGGAGGAGGAGGCCCTGGTCTAACCGTGATCCTGGCCCCAGGTCCATGTGTGCTGGAAAGTTCTCCAAAGGCCGGGTTAGGTGCCACTGTGTGATCAGAGCTGACCCTGACTTGCCGCTGTGTTACACAAAGGATGCTTGGATGGGCCAAAGGACACCCTTGTGGTCCAAGCCTGGGGTTATGACACTGTCTCTGACTCCAGAACATTCTGTAGTATTTAACGAGGCTAACTCCATATAGGAGTCTTTGGAGCATCAACAGATGAGTCCAGTGCATTTTCTCTCGAGAGCAGAAGGACAAGGAGAGAGCTCCCCAGTATCCATACGCTCCACAACTTTTGGGCCAGCCTGGATTCTAATCCTGAGCCTCAGATGGGACATACAGAGTCAGCCCTACCCATGCTGCATGGGTGGAGGTCTGACAGCTCGAGATACCAGGAAGCGGGTAGGGGTGGCTCCTGGACCTCTGTGGCCTCTCTGTGACCAGTGCCATGCCAGGCCCTTGCCACCACAGCTTATTTTTCCTTCCCCTTTAAAAAAGATACGTTTTGGATGACTTTGAAGTCCAGAGCAGGGACAATCTTATCACATGTTGACACAGGGGTTTCTGATTCTATTATATAGGGGATCTTATTATTTTTTTAGACTTATTTATTTTTATTAGAAAGGCAGATTTTTACAGAAAGAAGGAGAGACAGAAAGATCTTCCATCTGCTGGTTCACTCCTCAACTGGCTGCAGTGGCCGGAGCTGAGCTTATCTGAAGCCAGGAGCATCTTCTAGGTCTCCCACGTGGGTGCAAGGTCCTCGGGCTTTGGACTGTCCTCGACTGCTTTCCCAGGCCACAAGCAGGGAGCTGGGTGGGAAGTGGAGCAGCCAGGACGTCAACTGGTGCCCAGAAGGGATGCTGGCATTTGAAGGTGGAGGTTTAGCCGACTGAACCATCATGCCAGGCCCACAACCAGGACCTCTTTGTCCTTCTGCCTTACCCAGTAACCATCACTCCTTCCGGCTCTTCTGTAAGATATCCGCACATTGCCAATACAAGAAAAAAAAAATCTATCTGAGATATGGACACCTCCATTTTCTTTGATTTTTCTCCTGACACTTTATCTATTGGAATATGAGCTGCTTCAGAGGATAGACAAATATGCCATCTATTTTCAAAAATAATTGTGGTGTATTTCCCAAGGAATCAATAGCGAGCGGGGTTGGGCTGGGGATATGAAGTGTGCAGGGGCCAGGGGAGCGTCGCGGGGTTGGGGGAACCTCACCTGGAACGCCACAAGTGCCCACAGAGCTTCCTGACAGCCAGAGTGGCCATGAGGACAAGTAGCTGTGTGTCCCAAGCTGCCTCAGTGTTCGTTGGAGTGAGCATGAGGACAGTAGCTGTGTGTCCCAGGATGCCTCAGTGTTCGTTGGGCTGTGGTTCCCCATCCTTACTCTTGCTGACTATGCCACTCATGGAGTTATCCCAGGCAAACAGGAATCAGATCCAGGCACTCACCCCATGACCCCACCTCCCTCCCAACCCTGTCTTGCAACATTCTTCATCCTCTTCACTTTCAAAAACAGCCCTGCCATTGCCTGGTACTGATGTTCGTTCCTGTTGCAGAACCCGGGCGTGCACCTGTCACTCCCTCCACCGAGATGTTCTTCCTCTAACTGGTCCCTGCAGGCTTGGCTGTACTGGAGTCTGTTCATGGAGACGTCTCCCTGCAGCCCTATCTCATTGACTTCCCCCCACCACCACTACCCCACCTCCTTCCTGCTTTATTTTCCTCCTAAGCATGAAATTCTCTTGTCCAGGTCAATTATTCGTTTCCCTGTGTGTTGTTTGTCTCCCGCCAAGCAGGATCTAAGATTTGTGAGGGTGGCGCTGTTGTCCATCTTCTTAATTGCCATCATTTCCGTGACCCCAGGGCTTGCAAGAGCACCTTACACCTAGCAGGGGCACCGTGAATTTATTTGAAAGGCTGAATGACAGACCCTGTTCCCCAGGGAGGGAGCTACCCGCGCCCTGTCATCCCTGTGCTGTGCTGTGCGGCAGGAAGAGGTCAAGTACAGTGGGGAATGCGGTTCCTTCCCCAGGGACCACGGAAACCACAGCATGGCACTCAGGGACTGCAAATGCTAACCCAGGAGGGCTGTGGAATAGGAGACCCCCACCATTGCCAACTCCCCAGGGGTTTCAGGGAAGGAAGCGGCTCTGAGCTCCTGCCTCAGGGCACTGGGCACCCCTCTGCCCGATGCCCGCAGTGTGTCACTGCTGTCCCCTTCTCAGTGAGGCCCCTCCTGCTCCCGTGCCGGTGCGCCTGAGTTTCCCCACCCACACACTTCCCATGCCCCTCCTTTTGCCTGCGTGGTCCTGCTCCAGAGCTCTCCTTGCAGCTAAAGCATTGCTGTGAATCTGCGTCTTGTTGTCTGTCTTTGGGATGGCCGCATGGGAGCTCTGTGAGCACTGAAGCTCGTGTTTGCATGCCCAGCTGTGCCTCTGGTGCCTAGCACAGAACTGGCTCACAGGATGCACCCAGAAAACACCTGCTGGGTGAACCCAAGAGTGAGTGAGTTCGAGAGTGTGACTGGACTTCGGAGGGGTTAGGGCGGACATCTGGCTCCCTCAGGTTGGACCCTGCCCTTGTTTTCCTGCTCAGAGTGGAGCCTGAATCGTGGTTCTAGGAGGCCTATGGAGGCTGCTCGCAGGATGTCCACTGCTGGGGAGTGGCGCTCTGAGCTTGTGATGCTGGGTGAGTTTGCAGCTTGCTTCTGTGAGGCTGGTCTAGGGGAGGTGTGGAAAAGCAGAGACAGAGCCAAAAGCAGTGGCACCAACACCGCGTTTGTCCAGCTTCCCCGATGGTCACTGACACTCCTGGGTGGCCACCACACCTTGCAAGTTTCAGCTTTGAGCAGGAAGTCTTTTCAAACTCACGCTTCACACGGCAGTGACATTGGTGGTCAGTTGTTCTGGGAGACACTGAGAGAGGCCGAGTAGGGCTGTGGGCAGAGACATCCCAGAAACCTCCGAGGCTGGGGCAGAAAATGAAAGAAGCCATGGAAACATCACACTACAGGCACCCCCCCACCACCCCCTCGGAAGACAGCATTCGGCATTCGCAGTGTTTAAAAAGCAGAATGGTAACCAGATAAAGATCAATTTCCTTTTTATCTAAGAACAAAGAAGTTGGAAAATGCTTACACTTGTGCATTTGAATAGAACAGAAAGTGTTACATGTTATAAATCACCGAAGTAAACATCCATTATGACAGTGTAAAAGTGGAGATTACGGGAGTAATTAAAAATCAAAATCAGTTTATTTGTTGATAAATTATTTCATAAGGGCCCAAGGCATTGGGTGGCCCTGAAACCAGCTGCCCCCTTTGGCCTCTCATGTTTTGCTGTTTCCACGTGACACGGAGAGGACAGCCATCTGAGAAAGAAAAAGCCGCATTCTCCAACATGCCATCTCCTGAAGTTTTTGTGCAAGGGTTCTGTATGAGCCCATTTAAAACTCCAGCATTATAAATCCACTTTAATTGGCTGGGCTCTGAGGTGCTCCATTCTCTGTATTTTTTCTGGCCCGCTCCATCTTTATTAGAAGCCTTGATCATCTAACATCAACGGATGAGGACCAGTTTCCTTACTTTTCTCCCTTGAGCCCACTCAATTGTGGCTCCTCTGATCCTTGCACCTGTTTGTTTTTTGTTTTTTCCACGATGCCCCTGTCCGTTTGTTCCAGGATATTTGGGAGCTGGGCGGAACCTATAGGTAACTGAGTTGCCGCTGTGGCCTTTTCCCACGGCTGGCTTCAGTGGGGTTAAGAGGATGGGGACTGAGAGGAGGAGCCTGCAGGTGCTGGAGGTTGCCCCACAATGGACCCTGGCAGGGCAGGTGCTGAGGGCTGCCTAATGTGGGATAGGCTGGATTTCTTCCCTCCTGGGAACCCGAGAATGACTGGGGGTGGGTACTGTCTCTGTTAAGGGCCGACTGTTCTAGCTTGAATTTAGAGCAGACAGGGCCAGTTCAGGAAAGAGGATGCCACTCAAGGCTCCGTCAAGAAGCAGAGCCGAGGGAACGCGCGCGCACATGCGCACTCAACTCGAGGATACTGCAGGAAGTCTGTGGAAAACTAAAACAAGTTCATTCTGATTTAAGAACCTAAAATAAAAGTCTTGAAAAAGTTCACAGCAGATGCACAAAAGACAGGGCGTGGCTTAAAAAAACGTTTTTTATTTTCCCAAGCAAAGAAGCTTTTGCTTCCATTTTCCACAAATGCTTTGCCATACTCTTGCATACACAACCATGCACCGTATCGCATCATTGTAGTCACAGGTGAGCCACATACAGGATCATGGTCCCAGAAAATTCTAAGAAAGCTGGAAAAATTCCTGTTGCTGGTGATGCCTGGGTCTCCAGAATGCCCACCAAGATGCATTACTTACTTGTTTGTGGTGATCCTGGCTTAAAAAAAAAAAAAAAACCCTTGGAGCTGCCAGCTGTGTAAAAGCATGGCTCCTAGAATTATGCATAGTACCTGAAACTTGGGGGTGAACATGAATAACTATGTGATGGGCTTCTGTATTTACAAGTTTTATCATTATAGTTTTACAACTTTATACATTTTTTTTCTTTAAAAATTCATTAAAAACTTTATTTGTAAAACAGGATGAGAGAGAGAATGGAGGCAGCATGGGTGAGAGGAGAGGGAGACCTCAGCTGACTCATTCCCCAAATGCTTGCAGGGCCGAGGCTGGGCCGGGGCCAGAGCCTAGGCCTGGGAACTCAACCCAGGTCTCCCAACATACAAGGTTGTATGTTTTTCATGTTGAAAGTAACCCCTGGACAAGTTCTCGGAATGTATCCCAGTTGAGAGTTCCTCATGCCTAGGCTTGGATTCCTGATAAGGAGTCCTATAAGAAACTGGCGTAGGGGACTGTGACCACTGGGAAGTT